GGAACTATAGTATTGAGTATTCTTACTTGTAAACTATGGATCTGGTCAAGATATGTTTTGTAAGTTCGGCCGTAGCTACTTAGCCCGTATTGAATGTGCGACTCCGCAAGTGCATTATATAACATTAATACATAAACACTCACGCCTGTCACCCAGAGGGGTATGCAGAGACTACAGACTTCCATTTGGCACGATCCTGACACACCTCTCTCGCCTCCTTCACATCCATACATCTACGCATGCATGCTCGTCGGTTAAGGGTACTCCTAATTTGGCCCGTTTTCAATAAATCGCCAATTTGGTCGATACATTTTCGCCTAGGACGTCCCTTTCCGACTCTGCCATTCACTTCTGCAACATAAATTTTCTTTGTCACTCTTTCCTCATCCATTCTTTCCACATGACCAAACCACCGAAGCATTCCTTTCTTAATCCTGGTCACAATATCATCTTGCAAACCACACTCTTCTCTTATCACACAATTCTTCACCCTGTCATGCAGATTCAGCCCTAACATACTCCTTAACGACCGCATTTCTACTGCATTTATTCTACTCTCGTGCTTCTTCTGCCACACCCAACTTTCACTACCATACGTTAAAGTAGGGACCAACACAGCATTGTGAATTGCCATACGTGCCTTTTTTGACACATTTTGACTCTTCACAATAGAGTGCAGGGCCCCATTTACTCTGTTTCCTGCGTTCACTCGTCGTTCTATATCCTTATCATATCTCCCATCCCTGCTAAATACGCAACCCAAATATACAAACTCATCTACTTGCTCGATCAACTCCCCATCTATTCTTATTTCACATATCGTTTTACTTTCATCTCTTTCAAAAACCATAATTTTCGTCTTACTTGCGTTCACTTTCATACCCCTTTCTTTTTATAGATATATTTATATATATATATATATATATATATATATATATATATATATATATATATATATATATATATATATAACATTAAGAGAGAATAGTGATATTTGCTAAAAACTGTCTTGTTTAGTACATACACGGTCAATATGCTGGCTCCATTTTAATTTACTGTCAATAACTAGTCCAAGATACGTTTGTGTGTCAACTATCTCAATTGCTGGGCAGCAGCATTCAGCAGCGCGGTTATTATGTAAGCAGATGTGGTTGTGTGCAACTATTTTTTTATTGAAGCGGGTTTTAGGTATGGAGATTTAATTACTAACAACTTAGTTTTACTATCATTAAGGACAAGCCCAGCATCATGGCACCACCTTGATAGGATATCTAGGTCAGACTGCAAAAGGTCACATGCTTTTTGTGGATTTTTATCACCGATTACAAGACAAGTATCATCTGCAAACTGGTAGCATGTGCAATTGACGATGTAGTTGCCCATATCATTGACGTAGGACAAAAAGTGCAAGGGTCCTAGTACCGAACCTTGTGCTGTTCCCTCTGTTATCAACATCGGCTCGCTGTAGTTATTTTCAATTTTCACAAACGATTTTCGGTTCTTCAAGAAATTATGGCACCAATTAAGTAAGGGACCACGTATACCACATTTGTCTAATCTGTCCACTAGCTGTTCATGTAACAAAGTGTCAAAAGCACGTGAGAAGTCGATAAATAGGGCAAGCACCTGTCTTTTTTCATTTGGATGACTATTCACTTCATCAGTAAATTTTGATAAGAGTCCTGTTGTACTTTTTCCTGATTGGAAACCAAACTGATACGGGCTTATTACACAGTGTTATTCCTATAAAATTTGTGTATTTGATCGCTTATGAATTTTTCAACAATTTTATCGATTGATGAAACTAATGTAATTGGGCGATAGTTCGAGTAGTCATCACGTTTTCCTTTCTTATGTACGGGTCTGACACAGCCTTCTTTCAATTTATCGGGATACAAACCACTTTTAATGCTACTGTTAATTAGGACAGAGACAGTTGGGGAAATATGTTCGCCTATCATTTTAATGTCAGCAATCGCAATATTGTCAGCACCTGGTGCTTTTCTTGAGTTAAGATTTTTAATAATTTTATGAATACTACAGGCGGTCGCTTTCCGATAAAATATACTGGAGTCTAAGATTTTATATGTATTGTTTTGGTTTATTAATTTTATTTTACAATTAGGAACTATACTTTTTACCGCTATGTCAAAGCTATTTGCGAAGTTATCTGCAATAGTTTTGGAGGTAAGTCCCTGTGCATCGAACGCTTTTAGTATAGCCGCATCAATAGACAAGTTCATTCTCCCTAACATTTGGTTAACAATATTATAATTTTTTTTTAATATTCTCAAAATTACTATTTATTTGCTTAGTATAATATGTGTTCTTTTTGGCTTCGAGAACTTTATGGACTTTATTGCGTATTTTATTATATTCTAGTCTAAGCTTGGAGTTATCTGGATTATTTCTCCAATTATGGTATAATTTGTCCCTTTTATTACAAAGACGAGTAATATTGTCGTCAATCCAGGGTAAATTAAACCGCTTGGGGATCTTTCTAAGTAGTTTATAGGTTTTAATATTACTTGCGGAATTTTTTGCCGTTTGAAAAGAGCTATATATAAAATTTAGAATCTCGTCTGGGGAATTCATATCCTTAGATTTTGACCAATCCACATTTTTAAGTTCCTTATAAAAAATTTCGTAATCAATTAGTTGTTTTGTTACAGTCTGTGAACGCTCGAGCAATATAGGTGCGTCTTCTACGCACGCAAAAATAATACCTCGATGATCGGCCAGTACAACATCGAGCACCGCCGAGAATTGATGTAGCGTGGGAAATCGGGCAAAGATGTGGTCTTAGCAAGATTTAGTAATTATATTTTGTTTTGTTTCAATTCTTGTGTATTCTGATATTCCACACATCAATCCGTGCTCGCTGAGTGCTCCTACATATGCATTCTTGTATGAGGTTGAAGTTTTCAAATCTATGTTAGTGTCACCGATTAAAAGGAGGTTCTGTTTCAATTCAAACTTAGAAATATAATTGCTTATTTCACTTATAAACAGATTTTTATTTGTAGATGGTGGTCTATAAACTGCACACACAACTATATTTAGTGACGAACTAAGTTTTATTATGCCCGAAAGACTTTCAAACGTTTTAGTATTACATTGAATTGTGGTAAATTTTAGGTGGTTTCGTACGTAAATTATAATTCCGCCTTCCCTTCTTATTTTCACGTAGATGTGTATGCAAATTATAGCCGGGTAATGTGTATAAATTAACAATATTGTTCGAGATACCAGCCTCCGTTATAACTATTACATCTAGTGGATAGGTACAGTTGTGGATTAGTTGTTGTAGTTTATTAAAATTTTTTATAAGTAAATATTAAAGTGTATACATGAGAAGTTCATAAAACTTTTAGGAGCCAATTGTTGAAATAATTGATTAGGAATTACATTACAATTAGTAATTTCATTTACTAGTGTATCCATTTTATTTGAATTTATTGATTAATGAATAAATATGGGTATAGATGAGAACTTTACAATATTGTGGATGAGGGTGACCCGGATTGTTTATCAGAAAGAGATGAACTTAGTTTTATAATTTGATTGATGTCATGCATAGTGCGAATATAATAAACTTTACTGTTGTCAGTTTTTCGAGCACATACCTTCCCATTTTTACACCATACATACTTACATGACTTATGCAATAGTTGCGACTTAGCATTAATAATGGGAACGAAACAGACACCAGCACGCAGTACAAAACGACCAACCGTAGCGGCAACAGTATCAATTATTGTATTTACCTCGCTGGGCATTTCCACTGGTAATCCGGCAATTTCCAACGAGGTAGAGAGAGTTTTTTTGTTCAAAATCTCTTAGTGTTTGTTCTAAGAGTTCCAAATTCTTGTTTTTGTTCACTAAGTCATAATTCTTATTTTCAAGTTCTTTAATTCTAGTGTCTTGTTTTTTTATTGATTGCTCCATAGAGGAAAGTTGTTCACTTAGAAAATCGAGTGAGCTCTCAAGATTCCCGATCTCCTCACGAAAGGTCTTTTTTACCTCGCGACTGATGTCTTGTACCAACTTTCTCGCATCTATAACTTGCGCATTTTCCATGTTTCCAGGGTCGCAGTTTTCATCATCGCCATCATCGTCGGGTATCACGAAAGATGATCTACGAGAAATTTTCCTTAGGCACTCTTCACAACTCCACTCTATGCCGGATGAATTCTTGAGGGTGTTTAACTGTTTATTGGATAACTTTGAACAGACAAGATCGGCGTGAACTATTTGATCACATCTACTGCATTCTAGTCCAGGCACTTTTTTGGTGATGTTTTTCTTACATTTAGCACACTTCTTGACAACAATTTTAGATTACGGGTGGGTACAACTTTAATCTCTAGTCGTTTACGTCTCTTCACGTTGGTGTCTAACTTGTAAACTGATGAAGTAATGGGATTGAAATAATAAAAAAAGATTCAAACGAAAATAACACTAATAATTTAATTTAATTTCCGGAGAAAATTTAACAAACATATATGACAACCAATCACCATGACGACTACCCGGCCTTGTTATTTGGAATACGACAGCCTATCGATTGGATATTGTCATCATGGACCGTTGTGTTAATTGTGGCGTAGCGACTGGTCGCTGTAATACAATAGGCAGACGAGTTTTACTTGATCAAGCAACTCTATCTGTGATCCGTGAATGGTGTGCACCTGAACCTGTAAGTACTATTCTTTGATCATAATTAATTAATAAACAGTCAATTCTTAGTGCTTCACAGCACACATTCATTTTACATAATCTTTTATCTTTCAGATAAACAACAACGACTATGCATGTCAGGCCTGCTGGAACTTAGCTCAAGGGGTGGTCTTAGGTTGACGATCTATAGATGAACCGAGACCGGTAGGTCACTCCACTGTTTGTCTCCGCTGTGGACGTTCGTTGTCATCACAACGTGTTACTCACCAACTTCAAACTAATTCACCTCGTGAATTGAGAATTTTTAATGTTATTCGAGAATGGATTATGCCACAAACTGTAAGTTAAATCAGCTAATTTTTCTGTTTTAATTTTTAGATTTTTTCATCATTTTTATCAAATTTAATCTTCTTTATTTATTGTAGGTGGCGGAAACCAGTCGCATATGCCATTCTTGTTGGGTCGAATGGCAGACAAAGCTGCTGTTCATATGATTTCTGGGCCATTAACCTCTAGACAAAATACTATGCCTCAAATACAACCCCAGATACTAGATACTCCAATTATACCACTGGAAGAACAATTGCAATCTCCACCTACGCCGCAAACTATGCTAAGAAGCTATGCCTGAACCTGTGCTGCAATCTCTGCCACAATCTAAATCGACTATTGTGTTACCAGACTACATGAGGGCTATTGAAACAGAAAGTAGGTGTTTTATAGAAGGATGTCACAGAACAGAAAGGCATAGAGTTCCTCTTTCCACAAAAAAGATGTTACTCAATCGCTATAATTATTATGTACCTGAAAACAATCGGCTTTGTGATCGGCATTTAGTAATTGAATCGTGGGATTTCCTTGAAAGTTTAAGAAATAATTACCAGCAAACTTTTACTGCAATTCATATTCAGGATATGCTGTTCTTAAAAGATTCTTCTTCCTCGTTATGCCTTAATTTTGAAAGTATTGATGATTTGGAAGACCATGTTATACATACTTGGATTGGGTTGAATAAAGTACAGTTTAATCAAATATTTAATGAGGTTCCTCCGTTAACGGAAGTACCTAGAGGGTCTGTTGCTTTGGCTGCTTACTTAATTAAACTAAGGACAGGTGACTCTAACGATAGATTGTCATCATTATTAAAAGTGTCCAGACGAACTCTGGAAAAATGGTTGAAAGAAATCCGCCATCTGCTTACAGAGTATTTTGTGCCTAAGCACTTAGGTTTAAACCATATAAATAGGCAAGAAATTAAAGAAAGAAATCTTTCAATACCGAATGCTTTGTTTGGAGATTTTGAAGGTGAAAATAGGCCTATTGTAATATTTGATGGGACATATTGTTATATTGAAAAAAGTTCTAATTATCTGTACCAAAAAAGGACATATAGTTTACATAAATATAGAAACTTAGTTAAACCATTTATAATTGTGTGCACTGATGGATATATCATAGACGTTTTAGGCCCCTATCCAGCCACAACTTCAGATGCAGACATCATGAGAAAAGAATTTTCAGATGGAAGAGAATATTTTATGCAAGGTGATGCTTTCATACTGGATAGGGGCTTTCGTGATTCATTACCTATATTAAACCAATGTGGGTACAGAATTTACGTGCCTGCTTCCTTAAGGGAGGGTGAAACACAACTATCAACTAGTGAAGCTAATAATTCGAGAGCAGTCACCATATGCCGTCGGGTTGTGGAGGTGGTCAATGGAAGATTCAAACGTAATTTTAAATTGTTAAGACAAAATTATTCTAATACAATGGCAAAAAAAAATGTGTGTGAAGTGGCTGCTGCTCTTTTAAATGCTTTTCACCCTCCCATAGTAGACCGTGTTGATGCTGGGGAACTAATTCAACAAATAAATATGTTTATGAATACCGGAAACGAACTAGCCCATTATATTATAAGAAATAATTAATTACTACTGCTTAGAGGAAGAATAAATTCAAGGCACATTAGCCGCAAAATATACTTTGTATACATATTGGTTGACAGATCTCGCAGCGGCCGAGAATCTATTCTTCAATATTATTGTAATTGTATTGTAGGGAAACGCACAGTAGGCTGCTGCGCCCATATAATGTCAATTATATGGTACCTTAGTTGGGCAAGGTATCAGGACAATATAATGCCGCCTGCACAGTTCCTTGATGATATTTTAATAATTATTGATGACGATTAAAGTACCTAAAAAAAAGTTTTTTTTTAAATAACCACCTAACCACCACCCTACTCCTGTCTGGCTGAATTAGGTAGATATAGAGAATTAGGTAAGTAGGCAGATATGTAATTGAGTCATATTAATGTTTGCTTAAAAAACCTACCAAAGTCAAAAGTGTCTGGTTCGATTTCTAATTATCCTTTTTTTCGTATAAAAATTATATTTGTGAGAATAAACAAATTGCCTGAGTGTTCTCGAAGTGTAGCCAGTTTGGTTGAATATTTATTTACTACTTGAATTACATGAAAGCTTGGAACAGTTTATAATATAAAAGCTGATGTTATTTCAGCAAAACATCATAGGCGAAGTAAGTAGGCATTTACCTCCGCTTACGCTTATAATATGAGAATTTATAAATATAATATTCTTTAAATATTTTACCACCTTTAATACTTGAAAAATATTTATTTACTAGTTAAATAACTATATTATCTATAGTCTGAAATCGACTGTTCAATGTAGGTAAAATATAACCTCACTTTCACTTAATCTTAAATAACTCAGCTCCTGGATTGACAAATCTTGCCAAATTTTCAACTGTGGATTGTTTATATGTAAGCTTTCAAATGATCCAACTTTCATGTTGTTAACACCTGGGCCCAAGAATGTATGGAAACGTATCCGTCTCCTTTATGCGAATTGCATAAATCTTAGTTATATTCAAACTTTAACCATTAAAAATCTATAAAGGCACTTATAATTGAGAAGTCATTTGAAAACCTCTTGCTTTTTCCTAAGAAAAAAGCCCATGACTTTAAAATAAAACTACAGCTAGTTGGAACAGAAAAAAAGTTTACTAGCAAAATTAATAAATTTCCTCTAAATAAATAAATAAAAAATAAATTTCCTTCTAGTGGTTGTAGTAGTGCGACCGCCAATCATGAGGTCCTGAGTTCGAATCCCGGGTCGGGCCAAAAAATCAATTATTGAGTTTTTCTGTTAAGAAATTCTCAGTAGCTGCCCGGAGTCAGGAAGTTGGCGGTGTCTCACCCCCGTCCCTCGGAAAGCACGTAAAGCCGTTGGTCCTGCACCTGATCCCTCTCCTGTCGTACCGGTTTACCGTCCGATTGGATTACGAGAGTGAGGGAATAGAGAGTGCATCTGTGCTTGCGCATACACTTGGGCACTATAATCCTGTCCTGCGCCGATGGCTAGCTTCCGTTGAAGCAGGCCACCGTGACTGAAATACGGTCTGGAGGATATTATTATATATATATAGTATATATATATATATATATATATATATATATATATATATATATATATATATATATGTATAATGAAAATGTTTATCTATAATGTCGAAATGACTGCCATTTATATGTCAGTCTGGCTGTCTATCCGCGCTAAATTAATTCGGTTCAGGCATGCGGAACCGATTGATTTGAATCTTCACAAACCCAAAAGGGAGGAACGCCAGGTGTGATCAAGTCTATATTTTCTCTGAAAAATTTGGACATTAAAAAAAATCAAAAACTGATAAAATAAATGGTTATTCCAATTTTAAATCTAAATGACATTTCATTAATAGACTCTTCCATTAATATAATGACATTTCATTAATAGAAGTGTAGTGGCGGTTGAGAATATCCACTACCCCATATCTTCCCGTGGGTATCGTAAGAGGCGACAGAGGGAGACAGGCAGGAGATGGGCAGCAGAATCTTCTTTATAACGACTAAAAATAAAAAACTGCGTTTGTCCAGCCGATTGTCAAACGTGACAATTATGTTCAGCCGTGGACTTTAATAGGCTATAACAGTAACGGTAAAGTTAACAAATTCTTCCCATGTAAAGCCAGGGCGGGTCACTTGTATATAATACATAATCGTATAATCTTAGAGCGTGTAACCAGCGCTTTTATTTGAAAGTACGAACACTACATACTTGTTTTTCATAATGGTTATGTTTTTAGGACGTTTTTTTTTAAAAAATATTTTCAAATATATATTTATGTGTAAACATTGCATGTTTAGCAAAAACCGTTGCTTATCATTATTATAAAGTTCTATTATTATGTAATTGTAAAAGAAAGGAGAAAATAACAAAGGCCAAATTGTGCAAACAACTTTTTTAAGAAATAAAAAAAGTCATTATTTCCTAAGAATCGTATAAAAACCTTTAACGCGTTCCTACACGCTACTACTGAAGATAATAAAAACATTACAAATTCAATTATAATTAAGATTATTTAACTTTAGAGTCATGATTTATATGAGTATGGGTGACGAACAAGTATACATTTCACTTGATGGTAAATGTATGCTGTGGCCCATATACCTTGCTTTAGAATCAGAATATACATGCTTTTCCACTACTATCAATAAAATGGTTGGTTCTTCCATAAATCCATAAACATTCACGCCTGTCACGCAGAGGGGTAGGCAGAGACTACAGACTTCCATTTGGCACGATCCTGACACAGCTCTATCGCTTCCTTCACATCCATATACCTACGCATAGACACTTGTCGGTTATGGGTACTCTTAATTAGGCCCATTTTCAATATATCCAATTTGGTCGATAAACTTTGGCTTAGGACGTCCTTTTTCGATTCCTCCGTTCACTTCTACAACATAAATTTGCTTTGCCACTCTTTCTTCGTTTATACTTTCTACATGACCAAACTACTGATGAATTATCTTAATCCTGGTCACGACATAATCTTGCAAACCATATTCTTCTTTTATCACACAATTTCTCACCCTGTCACGTAGATTTAGCCATAACATACTCCTTAACGACCGCACTTCTACTGAGTTTATTCTACTCTCGTGCTTCTTCTGCCACACCCAATTTTCACTACCATACGCTAACGTAGGGACCAACACAGCATTGTAAATTACCATATGTTCCTTTTTTCATACATTCTGACTTTCCACAATGGAGTGTAGAGCCCCATTTACTTTATTTTCTGCGTTTACTCGTTGTCCTATACCCTTATCAAATCTTCCATCCCTGCTGAATTCATCATTAACTTACGAAATAGAAATAAATGCCGCCATTTCACGTTGCTTATCTATGCGATAAAAGCGTAGCGTACTCTCCTACGTAATATTTGTAGATATTATAGAACAGAATTTAAATTTTCCTTTTTTATGCATATTAAAGAGGATATTTGTAAATATGAAATGGTTGCACTTAAAATCTATTCTATCTATCTAAAAAAATTATTTTATCTTGGAAATTTCAACTTAAATATATAATCAGTTTATACGTGGTAGATAGAGCCATGCTGCAGTTATATTAGTAGTATAGTTGTATCACGAATGGGTCGGCTCGACCGGGGAAGGACCACGCTCTCACAGAATACCGTATAATGGTATAAAAATTGATAGGTTACAGCGCCATCTGCTGAGGAATTACAACAATGGCGATAGTATATAAACCTTTTCCA